TTTGTTCTCCTTTATTATGCTCTTTTTTTATTATTTTAGTTATAGGAGTTAGCTTTAACCTCTTTTCTTTCCTCTTATTCTATAGTTTGAATATCACCTTCTCCATCCCTCTCATTCCCTACTCTCTATTATATTTATTTTCTTTATATTTTATTTGATATATTAGTCGTCCTTATCCTCTTCTTGTCACATCTATTTTTCTCACCTTTTACTATCGTTTATTAATAATATGTGTTTATCCATTTCTCTCCCCTCTTTTCATATATCATCCCTTATTTCTCTTTATTTCATTCATCTTGACACTCCTTCTTATGTTCTCCCCTTTATCTCTTTCTTGTATTTAGTTTTGTTACTTTCATTACATGTTATTTATTAGTACTAGCTTTCTTCTCTTTTCTTTTCTCCCATTTTATTTCTTCTCATGTTATATTATTATCCTTATCCGCATTTCGTGCTCATCTCTCTCTACCTTGTTGATGAGGAATCGTATATTTCCTTCTTCGCAATCATGCTCGTATTTCTATAATATTATGTCTCTTGTTCATTTTATGTCATGCATATTTAGACTAGCCTTATTCCCTTATCTCCATGTTGTTTACTTGCTTATTCTTTTTGCATTTCGTAGTTAGATTCTTTACTTCTTTTTATTTCTATCTTCCTAGCTTAGTTGCTTATTTGTGGTTCTCTTCCCTTGTTCTATTTCTAAATCTATTTTTCTAAAATCTCCCTTTTATCTCAAACCCTTTTTCAGAAGCTTTCTTGGTTGAGTTCTAAGGATAAGACAGTAGGGAAGCAGGCTTTGTCTATGATTCGAGAGGGACAAGGTCTTAGGATCCGTTTATCCCTCGAAGTGTAATTTGACAGGGCCCATACTTTACCAACTTATCAATTTGTGTGCACCCGAAACAAAGAATGGGGCAAAGTCCCCTACCTGCAATTTTAAATATAAAATTTCTTCATCTAGTTCACCATGGATTGTTAGCATTTTTATCAAAAATTAGTGTTTCAAAACAACTTTATTTACTGTTGGTGTACTTTGCTTTTTGTGGAATCTTAGGACCACTTCTTTTTTTTATCCTCTCATCTTTTGCTTTATCTTCCATGCATTTATTAATGCTTACCTCACGATTTCATCATCCTCCCTTTTCCCTCTCTTTGTGCAAACCACATGCCTATACGCATGGTAACTCACTCTCTCCACTTTCCCCTTATGCTCATCCTCATCTTGACAGTTGTCATGTGTCATAATAAAATATAGTATTTTTCATATATATTAGGCTTTTGGGATGAGAGAGAAAAAGAAGAGAGGAATGAGAGGTACGGATGAGAAATGGGAGGCTTAAAGAAAACAGAGCACGCATGGGAAGTAAGGTGTGAGGTTTTTATAAATATATTGAGCTTTATCTCTCTTATAAAGTTCATTTTGTCTCTCTAGTTAGAGACAGTAAAGCACTAGCCTCGTGTAAATTTCTGGTAACATGTTTTATTATATATGATGATTTATTTTGGCATGGGATGATCATGTGTGTGCTTCATTTTTTCCCAATCGATGTTTTAATGCAGTATACCGAGAGAGATGTTTATTTCCAATTGATGTTTACAGTATCATATCAGTTGGAAAGACATAATAGTATTTTGTAACTGTGGTTTTGTACAAGTCCCATGAGTGTGCATCTCAGGGCTCAGGAATTACTTTTCGATCTGGTTGTATCCTAGGAGTGTACTCGTCGGGACCTATTTGCACCTCGAAATTTTACGGAGACGGGGGCATATAATACTTTCAAGAAAGCGAGCTACACTCGTGCCTCTAGATCCCCTGTTTTTAGTTTCCGTGTTTGGGAGTTTATGTCCACTGTGATGTTTGAAAAACCACGGTGAGACCCCCATAAAACTAACAATTTCGAAGTGTTAAAAGGAATTTTTTTCTAGAGATGTCTTGTGATGACTCGCTAACTATAAGTACCAGAATAGCATAAGCCTAGATCCCCGGATATACTCTACGATTTTGTTTACCACTGAATCCTGCTCCAATTCCAATGCGAATCCGACTAGTATTAGGAGTGTTTATTTTACCAGATATAACCTCTAAAACATGCTCTGATTCCTATAGGAGTCCAACTTGTATTACGAGGGTTCTGGTACTTTTTTGGCACTATCCCGGACTAAGGGAGGTGTTGTAGAATGTTTTCCCGGTTTTGAGAAAGTGATAAGGCTTAACGAGTGTCTATTAGACTCATCAAGCAAGGCTTATGGAGTGTCTGTCAGGCTCATCAAGCGTATGTAAGGCTTATGGAGTGTCAGTCAAGCTCATCAAGTGTATGTAAGACTCATCAAGCGTAAGTAAGGCTTATGGAGCGTCTGTAAGGCTCATCAAGCGTAAGTAAGGCTTATGGAGTGTCTGTCAGGCTCATTAAGCGTATGTAAGGCTTATGTAGCGTCAAGCAAGCTCATCAAGCGTATGTAAGGCTTATGGAACGTCAATCAGGCTCATCAAGCATAAGTAAGGCTTATGGAGCATCTATCAGACACATCAAGTGTAAGTAAGGCTTATGAAGCGTCTCTCAAGCTCATCAAGTGTAAATAAGATTATGAACTAAAAGTCAGACTATCGACTGTAAGTCAGATTATGGACTATAAGTCAGACTTTCAACTATAAGTCAGATTATGGACTGTAAGTCAAATTATGGACTGTAAGTCAAACTATAGACTATAAGTCAGATTATAGATTGTAAATTAGACTATCAATTGTAAGTTAAATTATGGATTGTAAGTCAGACTATTGAGTGTAAGTCAGATTATGGACTGTAAGGCAAGCTATCGACTGTAAGTCGACTATTGACTGTCAATTAAGCTATCGACCGTCAGTTAGGCCATCGACTGTCAGTGAAGCTATCAACCGTCAATTAGGCCATCGACCGTCAATTAGGCTATCGACCGTCAGTTAGGCCATCGACTGTCAGTGAGGTTATCGATCATTTATCAGGCTATCCATTGTCTGCTAGGTTAGCCACCGTCTCTCGGCAAATCAATATCAAAGAGTTGATCCATGAAATGATTGGTAGAAGATCGCTGAAAGTTATACCCAGGATTTTGGTCTTGTCAGATTAGTTTTGATGTTCCAATTTGTTGGTGTTTGTCTGCTTGCCATGTATTTGTTGATTGTGTAGTTGATCTAGTCACGTGCATATTTTCTGTAGACTTCGAAGGAAAGCAAAGGCCTTAGGCTTAAGTGACCGACGTATATCATTTGTTATGATCTCTGATGTTAGTGTAGTCAGGGATGATCTGAAGAGCCACCAAACATGTTGTTCAATATTGAAGCTTATTTTTTTGGGTCCTATAGAATGGTGGGGGTGGCATTGTCCTATAAAAGGATTACCCCATCTCTACCAGGCCTTTTGGCAAAGGGACATCTAAATTTAATTCATGTCCGGTGAGGTCCTTATACCCCCGATATCCGAAGATATTTTTGTTATTGATTTTAAGCCTTAGAAGGCATGTTTTGTATGAGATTTATCGTAAGGCTCCCCGACCTTAAGAGGCACAAACTTGGACCTAGATCTCTTGTGTGTTTATGTGGGCTATGCTGAACATAACAAAACATATAGATTCCTGGACCTGGAGTCAAATATGGTAATAGAGTCCAGGGATGCTGTATTTTCTTAGCACACATTCATTGGTGAGCAAGATAATGAATATGAAGCTCAACATTGTAAAACATAAAGTTGGAGAGCATGAAAACCCTGAGCTCTTAAACCCAGGAGAAGTAAAACAATCAGGAGGCCAACTATTTTTTGTCCTAATTTCCAGTTGTATCTTTTGGAAGACGATCATAAACCTTTCAAGAAGCTATATCCTCACATGACACTCCTTTCTTAAGGGAGGAAGTCAATGGTGAGATGAAATCAATTCTGGAAAATGATACTTGGATATTGGCAAATTTACCTTCTGGAGCTAAGCCTTTAGGATGTAAGTGGATTTTCAAAAAGAAAAGTCAAAGCACGACTGGTTGCAAAGGGGTTTAAACAAAGATAGGTGTTGACCACTTTGATACCTTTGGATCAATTGCTCTTATTGTTACCATTCGAGTTCTCATAGCCTTGGCCTTTGTATACCATCTAGACATTCATTAGATGGATGCCAAAACAGCCTTTCTCCACGCTGCGATCCTCATAAAACTAACATCACCCCAAACCACCACAAATTCCATTGATCAATTATGAAGAAAATACACTGGTTTTGTCATGTAAATGATAACCTTTGAGCATGAAATGGAAATCAAGATTATAATCGATGCTACAAAGTTTCACTAAAAATTCTAAATGAAGTGATTTATTAGTTAGTTGATTGGATTGGGGAAACTCCTAGACAAATAGTGGGTCTCTAGCAACAACCATTGAAGAGGCATATGATGGCTATGTTGAACACAACATGATCGTGATCAAGCTTCTCCCAACCACAAGAGAACGATGTATTTTTTTTTTTTCCTTTTCTTTTTTCCTTTTTCTTTTTTCCTTTTTTTCTTCTTTTTTGGTTTCTTAAAGTCTAAAACTAGGTTCAGTTTGGTCTTTTTAACTGTAGAGATTTTAGTGGTATTCTTGTCATGGATAATTTTTGGCAAGATAAATGCTCAGGATTTAATAGAGAATAGGTTTCTCAAGAGTCAAATTTAAATATTAGGATTTTTCTCCTAAGTGCATGAGTTGTGCTTCGTAAATACAAAGAAAAATCATTTGGAGTTAATGTTGTAAGATCTATTCTGGTTGTTCTCTTGCAACCTAGAGAGACGGCCAAGTCTTTCAACCTTTGGGGTGGATTCCCTTCCAAACCAAGATGGTATCTTTCCTATCATTTTCTTATTTTTGTTTTTAATTTTATCTCTTTTTCCTATGAGATTTTGGAAATTGTTGCACATTAGATTCCTGATTTTCCATGAGCATGACAAAGTTTGATCTACACTTCAGTGTTTATAGGTGGGAATATGATGTTGCACTTTGCAGGTCACTGACTATTTGAAGGTTTCAATGTCCCAATGGCCCAACACACTAGGGCTCTCTATACAAGCCTTTTCCTTGAAATTCAAGAGGCCATGACTTGAATCTTAATGAGATGTATGAAGCAGAAAAGGGGAATATATCCCTTGGAAGAGTGGCGGTTTATTATTTAATGTGATGTTAGACATTTCTAATGTCCTTAACCAGCCAGACATAAGCCAACAGTTGGCTGGTTTATCTATCAGCCATCAAGTTTTTGGGATTCTCTCTTCTACTTTTTTGTAAGGTTGTTAATGTAATTCTCTTATTTTAGGTTGTAAGGACATGTTTAGACAATTAATTTTATCAAGGGTAAACTATCTTATTTGTAATTGATATACTCTACATCATAGTATGTTTTTACTATTCCAACTCAAGGGCATATGTTTTTTTTACTGGGTATTTAGCAATTAAATCAAAAGATATGGCTAACTTGTTAATCTTTCATGGGTCATGTGATAAATTTCTTTTTGGTTATTTTAACTTTTTTTTTATGATTTTTCGTTATTTTAGGTTATTCCTGGTTAAAAACACGTAATTTTTTAGCAAATACTTATATAATGTCCATTTACTCCCTCGAGCAAAACTCCACTTAGCATTGATGTTAGGACCTCAAGTTTTGTGGATACAACCTCCACAACTCGTAGATTAAGCTCAATAAAAAAAATTCCTTAATTGTGCCATCCATGTACTTGAAAAAATAATCTCAAGATTAAAATAAGGGTGCGATTTATATAGAGCCGAGACTTTGAACAATCAAAAAGTATAGTGCACCTTCAATAGTGTCGAGAAATGTGATTTCAAAGCTGGAAATGTTTGTGATAGCCTTAAAATATATTTTCGTCTCTAACTATAAAATTTCAAGCTTAAAAAATAAGATAAATCGAGTAGATATATGAAAACCTGAAAATATTGAAAATTGACGGTCCAAAAATGCATTACAAGATGCATTATTTCCAAAACTTAAAATATATTTTTTCTCATGTCTGCATCTTGATGTCGAGATGATCCATTTGAGGATATTTGGGTATCAAAACAACATCTTCTAGTGAAATTTTTGGGGTGCACTCTAATTTGATTGTTTAGAGCCTTTGTTCTATATTTTATTTTTCCTTAAAACAAAGACCATCCAATTTTTAGATTGTGAAATCTAAGTGTTAGAAAACTCAAATTTCAATCTTCTTTTTCTAAAATAATTATCTAGTAATTCTTAAGTGGTTCCCAAGTTTTTAGATTAAAAAAAATCCTCCCAAGTAACCTTCAGACCGGGGAAATAGAATTAAACTAATGCTCTCAATGGAGCATTATATACATGCTCTAAAAACTACTTTTTTAAAAAGATGACTTTATATATAAAGCTACCTCTAAGTTTATCTCCGATAGTTTTACGAGGGACACTACCAAACAATAGTTCATACATTATCAAGATTTATTTTATTGAAATAGATAATTTTCAAGAGTACATCAAGATTTATTTTATTCGCATAGTTCTACTTAGTTCTCTTCGATACGTTGAGGGTGCCACTTATCTAATTTGGATGGAAATCGTGGTACATGCCAAGAAAGAAAATAATCACCAAAATACTGCAAATATAAGCATAGTAGCAAAACGCACAGGGAATAAATGGATCAAATACGGTCCCATTCCAAAAGTTCATTTTAGATATGGATTAAGGATATGAAACACATCTGAGATATGGATTTAAGCATGGAATTCGAGATGCATTGTTGCTTTAGATTCATAATTTTGTAGCTAAAAAAATAGTGCAAATTGTGTTGTGCGCGGTGTCCAATACACAAGATTGAGTACTACGTGCACATATATAGTATTTCGTGCATATGTGTTTTGGGGAACATAGTGCAAATCGTAGACGCAAACCTCGGTGCATTGTGGCGTGGGTGTCTTGCTCTTGCGTGCACCTGCCCGTGATGTGTGTTTGGCGTTGCTGCCTTCACACTGCCTCAACACTGGCATAAGCAATGTTTTGGACTGAATACTAAGTGCACTTATATAGTACTTCTTACGCATGGGATTTGGGGAACGTAGTGCAAATTGCACTCTTTTATGCTCATAAATAATCTAAGTTGATGTTTATTTGGATCTTGAGGGACTGAATTTTTTTCTATTTCGCATCCCGAAGATCCGTTATGTGCACAGTTTGTGGTGCGCAGTACACAAGGTGGAGTACTAAGCGCATTTATGTAGTACTTTATGTGCGTGCGTTTTGAGGAATGTAGTGTGCATTGTACGATAGATAAGTGCACAATGCTCATCATAAGTGCGGGAAACATTGCTACACTTTGTGTATGAATAGCACGCATTACGTGGCTTATGTTGTGCACGGTGTGTGATACACAAGACAGTGTACTTCACATCACAATACAGTTTTCACAACAGAAAATCAGGTTGCACACCTCTCAATAAAATAATTATTTCTCTCAATCTACAAAGATTGTCTTCTTGAAATCTGTTTTGTTGAAAACTAGACTCAAAACTAAAACTCAACAACATGGTGTTCTTGATCCAACCTTTTATAGACAATTGGTTGGAAAATTGATATATCTTACAATATTATGCCCAAATATTACTTATGCAATTCATATGGTTAGTCAGGTTTTGAGTGCTCCTCATTCTGTTCATCTAGTAATGTCTTGCACATCATTTATTATATCAGAGATACCCTTCATCGGGCTTCATTTTTCTCCTTTTCTTCCTCACTTACTGGTCTAAAATTCATTTTGGCTATAAAATTTTGAAGGAGATCGCATTTGAATACGTATGTCGGTTTATACACCAGAACATTGTTCATATTTAAAACCATAAACAAGTTATTGATTTATTACCGTCTATTAAGAACTATCTATTATATATTTGTGTCATTAAAGCCATACACTATTAACCATCAAGAGTTTTACTTGGTATGACTTATGTTAATTTAATTGAAAAGCATAGACGTCCGACCACTCTTATCACAGCCTTACCTCTATTTGTTTCTATAGGTAACCATCAAAATAGGCATTCTTTAATGGGCGAGGACTTCATAAGATTGACTCCTTAAATAGTCAAAGTAAGCCATACCTCCAAATAATGCCGAAACGTATTTTTACTACAAAAATCACTATGATAATTTGAAAAACTATTTTCATATTTAATTATGAAATTTAAAGTTTCAAAAGTAGTTTAGATCAAGCAAATCTAGTTTACGAACACTTGAAATTTTTGAAAACAAACAGTTCATAAAATACATTACAAGAGGCAATATTTTCAGGAGTTGAAATGTTTTTCTCTTTTTCCACATTCATATATCTTAAAGTTAAGATGATCAATTGGAGGGTTTTTGACATCAGAATAAATTTTTCTAGTGACTTTTGAGGTACATCACTTCTATAATATTTACAAAAAAAAAAGAAGGTAAGTATGAAATGGTTTTTAATGAAATGTGATAAAGTCAGTGGGGATTTGGGCCCTACCCTTTCGTGAGAATGGAGTCAAAAACCTTATCACAGTACTAGACAATACTACCACCAAGACTCCATGCCATTCTCTTTTATAATATAAAGTTGACACTTTATATAAACTTTTTGCTTCTTTAATTGTGTATAATCAATTGAAACATGATTCATGTTTAAAGGAAACCTTGGGGAGTGATCGTTGAAGCCCCCAAGATACTTTTAGACATAAAGCTTATGGGGCAAAAAATCATGTAGTAGAGATTCCCTCCGTGCCAACCTACTAAGCTACACCAGGTTGGGTATGTTGGATAGTCGGGTTAGGTAGAGCAGGTTGGATCAGTGGAGCCTGGATAGTAAAATGATGAAGTAGATGGACTAGAAATGGTTGGGTTGGTAAGCTACGTAGGTTTGGTAGATTTTGTATTGGGTAATATTAATAAAAACTGAGTTGATCTGGGTGACTATTGATAGATTTCCTATTGGGTTATATTAATAAAAAGGGAAGTTTATGTATGGATCGTGTTATATTATAGTTATAACGAAATGGCCCAAAAATTAATCATCATTACCTGAAAAGACAGATCTCTAAATTTTTTAATTTTTTTCCAAGTTTACTTTCGATCCGATACGTTTAAAATGCCCAAGTTTGCCCCAATCCTCCCCATATTCTCATGGCCACCACAGCCAGCACCTCATCCATGGAGTCCCTGACCCTTTTTATTCGTTCCATTGTGATGATCTGCAGTTCATAGTCCGATTCATACACTCGCCAAGATGTGTGCAAGACTCGGCAAAGTGGCTCCCGATTGCTCAATCTGGAAGTCGAGCCCCAGGTCCCCTTAGTTCGGATTCTGAGTCTTTTGAGTTCGCATGGATCATCTCCTTCTCTATGGCCTTAAACTCAGTACTTGATAAGATTTTGGAGGATTATGAGGGGCTCCAAAATTTGACTGTCTTCGCACCTTAGGATGAGGGGTTTAATGGAGAGTATGATTAAGGGGCATGAGCTGAGGGTTTAATGGAGAGTACGGTTAAGGAGCAGGAGCTAAGGGTGAGAAGGTCAGAGCTTAATTCTTCGGTGGTTGTAAGGATGAACAGGGTGGAGGTGGTTCCGTTTGATCTTATTTCTAAACAAGTCTTTCTCATTCATGGCATTCTTATGGCTTTCAAGGCCGTTCGGGTTTCAGGGTAGTCGGCCACCACAGTGTTGCTGCTACTTCGCTCTCCATGCTACTCTCTCTCTCACTCTCTCCTGCATTATGGTTTTTGGAATTTGCTCTTGTTCCTTTCTCTCTCCTTCTCTCCCTCTCTCTTATATCTATGGATTTGGTCTCTTTCTCTCTCTCTAAAGAGCGGACCAAGGGTATATTTGGAAAAAATTTAAAATATCGAAGATCTATCCTTCCAGTAAGAACAACTAATTTTTTGGTCATTTTATTATAACGGTAATAAAACCCGGTCCATACGTAAATTTCCCTAATAAAAACTGAGATGACCTAGGTAAACTATAGGTTGCGGCTGGTAGATTGGCTAACTGGGTTGTGCCATGGGTTGAACTTGGTGGACCAACTGGGTCTGGTAAATAGGTTCATAGGTATAATGATAAGTGGGATGACCTGCTGGAATAGTGGGAGGACGTTGGACCTGATAGCCATAGCCTGACCGAGAGTTGGAACCCGAGGTTGTGAAAGAGAAGTCTGCCCTCCCAAAGCTTGTATAAGGTAAACAAGCGGTTGACCAATGAATTGACTGACTCCAAAGGTAATATTGGCTTGAGGAGGAGGTAGGCAAACACTGAGATGACTATGGCTACTCAAAAGAATGACTATGAGTCTTCCTCTTATAAGAAAACACTTGATTGGACTGATTATCAAGGTTGATTTAACCTTGATCATCTTGTGGCGCATCACTTAGCACTTGAACC